GGTACATGTACATGTGACTTGAGCTGGATTTTTCAAGCTAGGGGCAAGTTTGCGCAAGAACTAGCATGACTAGTAATTAGTAGTATTGTTAACCATAGTTCGCCAAAATAATGTAAATGAAAAATAGGGAATTTAATATATCAGTAAGTTTTTTTACAGACATGCACGTGTCAAAAATAAAATCCTAGTCCTACTTTTGATCCTGAATAACTCTGTTGTTTACCAATGAAATTAAACCAAAATTTCAGATCATGTAAACAAGGCATGACAAAATTGTATGAGCGAGTGTCATCAGCTTGTGATAGAGGGTGAGATTTAAACGCCATTAAAAAAAAAAAAAAACTCACTTCAGAATCTGCCACTTTTGACTGGTGTCCTCCAAGTCGATACAGTGCTGGAGACGGTGGCGGAAGGCGCGCGCTGCGACCAAAGCTTCTGATGGAATGTAGGATCATCCCTGATGTCATTGCACACCTCCTCGATCGTGTGTTGCGCCAAACTATGTAGGAGGTGTGCAATGTCACCAGGAGTAATCTTGCATTCCTTAGAAAGCCTTCAGCCGCATTATGCATCTTCAGCCACCGTCTTCAGCACTGTATCGACATTGGAGGATGCCAAGTCGAAAGTGGCAGATCAGAAAGTGAGTATTTTTTTCGTATGGCATTAAAATCTTACCCTCTTGCACAAACCTGCTGAAACTCGCTTATAAAATTTGTCCTGCCTTGTTTACATGATCTGAAATTTTGGTTTAATTCCATTGGTAAACAACAGAGTTATTCAGGAGCAAATATAGGACATGGGTTTTTTTTGACACGTAGTACATGCATAGGGCCTTTGATACAGAATTTAAGTGATCAATGTAAAATTGAAGTAATTTTTTTTTTTGTACGAGCAAATTTTCTTGTGCATGATGTTTATACATACTGGAATTTGTATCCTTGTGGAGACATTTCTTTGTTCTCGTGTACTAAAGTTTTCGAGTTTGAAAGTACAGTTTCAAATGCTCTTATTTTTAACCAGAATTAATTTCCTTGGCTGAAATTCGGACTTGATATCCCTTTTCTAAAACTCTACCATTTGCGACAGATCAACGTACCTTGGAAATTCCTAGTTTGTGAGTAAAATCCATATCTATTTCGTGAAAATCTTGTGGAGACGTATTCATCTATAGAAATTGCCCTGTGGAGACGTATACAATCTTTTGTTCCCTTTTGTGTGCATGTCTCCAGAGGGCACGGTTTATCAGATCACATATCATGTATGCATTTATCATGTGTTTGTCATCTTTATCTGCGATTTTCAGAACACGATTGAAGTCCTAGTCATCGAGGTTGTGTATGAGATGCAGGCTTCAAGAATAAACTGTGTTTAAATACATTTGGACACTTTGTAAAAAAGTAAAAACTGTTGAGGAGATGGCTGGCACCAGTGGATTTGAAGCTTCGGCGGTTAGTGTGATTAAACGGGCAGTGGAGTTAGATGGCAAAGAACGCTTCACTGAAGCATTAGTGTGCTACCAGGAAGGACTGAATCTACTCATGGAGGTCTTAAAAGGTATTACAATATTCAGTATTCTAAATTTAAATGGACTCATTACAATTCAATGACTTTCCCTTGGCTTTGGTGTATGACATCACTAGGCCTATGAGTATGATAGTTGGTGTTTGTGAATTTGGGAAAAAAAAGGAACGGATGAAACAAAAGTTGAAGCAAGTACAAATTTCTGAAAATTTGGACTGTACTTTTGTTTTGCAATAGTTTGGTGTACTGATTACCGAGGCAATGTGACTAAAATGGTAAGTTTATTCTCTTTTTAGAAATACTGAGTTAAGTTAAATGGTTTATCCTCAAAACTAAATTATCCCAAGTTGTTGTCTCCAGTCTCCAACATGCAGATATTCAGCATTCTCTTTTCCTATTATTTATGGCTGGCAGTGACAACAGACGACGCAAAGAAGCGGGCCTACGCACCCGCCTGGGCGACTACATGGACAGAGCAGAGAAAATCAAGCAACACGTGGAAAAGAAAAAGAAGGTGAATTAGCACAGTGGTACTATCGTCATTTTCCATCTAGAGCTGTGATCTAGGTTTTCAATCCTTAACCAGATTTTGTGGGTTCCACCAGGAATATGCCTTTAATCCATTAGGGCAATTCCACAGTTACTCACGTTACATTTTTGATGTACTTTTGAGTTTCCTTGGGCTGTAATTACCTTATTGAAAAGGTTTAATAACTGTTATCCCCACGGTCAGATAGAGTAGACCGAGACCTACCTAAGCACCAAAGATGACATCCAGAAAAATGTGTAATGTATGATAAACAAGACGCTCAAAATCGGTTACTCACATTACGAAAATGTAACGTGAGTAACCGTGGAATTGCCCATTAACACTTGTACTACATTGTAATTACAATGTGTTTATTCACTAAAAACTCAACAAAACCACAGAGTTCTTGGGTATTTTCGGGCTCAAACAGTGAGTAATATGCAGGGCAGTTTCGGGTGCTACCGTGACTAAAGGGTTATATAGCTTAAACATTTCTTCACGGTCCAGTGGTTACGGCGTTGAACTCATGTACTGGGTTCAACCCTGCCGGGAATATGGTGTTTGTGCCCTTGGGCAAGACACTTAACTACAATTGCCTCTCACCACCCGGGAGTATGAATGGGTACCTGTGAGGGTAGAGGACCAAATGTGTGCTGATATCGGCTGCCGCGTGGTCTCGTGACCTGATGAACAGGGTAATAATTGTAAAGCGCTTTGAGATTGTTGATATGAAGGAAAGCGCTATATAAGCATTGCAATTTTTAAAAAAAATGTTCCCCACTTCAGCAGGGATGTTGTCAATTCCATCACAAGTCCCTGCAAGTCCAGCACAAGTCCTCCAGTCCCAATTCAACTCACAAGCTGTTCAAATGAGCTTCGACAAGGCATTCCTTTGTTATTGTTCATCCACCGTTACTTGTACAGGGACTTGAAGAGTCAACTACATGTACATCCCTGCTTCTCAGATGTTTTTTAGGTTTCCAAGCTAAAGCACCCACACACTTTTAGTAACTAATGTGTTAAAACAGAAACAAATAAAACAGTTTCTGAACGTTGAGAAATGTTGCATTGTTTTATTATATTTTGTGTTCTTTGCCTAGATTTGTTGTTCTTTTGTAGACAGAGATGGTGGCTAGTTTTAACAGAATTATATTTTTTTTAAAGTTGTCTAAATCAGAAGCACTGTTCATTCTTGCATTCCAGCTGGCAAATACCACGAACAAATCCACATAGCTGCAGACTCCACCACAACAGCTACAGTCGAACCTTCGGCCGTTTCCTAGACGAGTTTGTGACGGAGGTCCACGTTGAGGACCCATACATCCGGAACCCTCACCAGTGCTACAACTTCCTGAGGCTGTGCGAACTCCTTCTTGGGGGCAAGACGAAAGTCAAGAGGATAAGCTTACTGACGGGACAAGACCAGGTAAGCAAGATGCTGGGAAGTTGGAAATCTTGGATACACAGTTTATTCCCTGCATAAGACAATTGCTGTGTTGCTTTCTCTAGCAGGTGCCATCTCGAGCAGATATGACGGCTCAACGTATGCGGAAAGTTTGGGGTCATTGGTTAAATAAAAGTGATAAGTAGGAAGGTTTCTTTCTTGTCGATTGCAGGGATCGGCGCAACAGCAAGAGGCAAGATTTGAGGAGTTGAAAAGAAGCCTGGCCGAGTATGGTGTAACGTTAGATATTAATTACTCATCGACGCTACACGACAGAGAAATCAGGTATAGCACATGTTCCTTGTGACCTCTAAGAAATTCTTTTTTGGGGGGGGGTAAAGTCTCAAAAAAATTAACCACTTACTATACACCAAGAAAGTGTGACGTCATCTCCTCCCAGGTCGCTATTTTTTTTTCTCCCAAATGACATCCGCATACATGTTTGTTTAGCGCCCTCTACGATACTTTTATGATAGGCACGCAGGTATAGAATTATTTGTTTCCCAATCTTTTGGCGAGCAGTGCCACAGCTCAGCTGGTAGAGGGTAGGATTTTGCGCCGCGAGGTTGCGGGTTCGAATCTCACGGTTTAGCACCGGAATTTTTTTCCTTTCTAACCTGAGGCTTTGGAGGATTTTTTTTAAAAGGGAATAAAGTCCGAATTCATAACGTTCACATTCACTTTTTTTTTCTAATTTTATATTTTCTTCTATGTTTTATAAAAGTTAAGTTCAAACGCCATAGCATACACCCATATGTGGATGTGGTTTGGGAGAAAAAAAATTCGCCCCAGGTCAGCTCACTTCCTCGACAACGGTTCAAGCACATTTCATTAACGACACATTACACGTACGTTTAACACACACGATTACATTTTACATCCTGCTTTTATAGAACATTTTTCACAAATTAATACCTGTAATGGTTCACTGTCTTTCATCAGATTTGTCAGTTACAACACAGGCTTGCTTATTTTAACGGATTACAACAGCCATAGCGAAACGACGGCGTTCACTGGGCCGTTGCAGTGCACGTCAACCAGTAATCACGGTTGCACGAATTGACCTCTGAAAGACGTCACAACTCGTTAGTGAATAGGGACTTATGATCCAAGTAAAATTATGACAAGTAAAAGTTACCACTGCTCTAACTTGATTCTGTGTCTCTTTTCACCTTTTTTTTTGGTCTTGGAAATTTATTCAGATTAAACAACGGTTGGATAATCAAGATAGGTCGAGGTCTAGACTACTTCAAGAACACGGGCAAGTTCAGCATCGGTTTCTGTGACATGGACCTGCGCAAATGCCACGAGACAACGGTCGACATCTTCCATTCCAAACACACACGAAGAAATGATACTGGCCGGAAACAAAAATGCAGATAATGATTTATCCCTTTTTTTTTCTCCAACTGATGCAATATTAAGAAACAAAGAAACACAAAAACTTGCCCAATATCTGCTCCCTGCTTTCCCTCACTTCAAACTTAAAGTTATAAGCTCCCAGATTTGCAATCTAGTCAAGTGAACCCTCTGGCCCAATTTCATAGAGCTGCTTAAGCAAAAATTTGCTTAAGCACGAAAAAAACAGTGCTTAGTAAAAATTAGGTTACCGGCCAAAACTCCATGCGATGTACATTGCTTGTGACTGGTATTTAGCGGCCTGTACCTGATTTTATTAAGCAAGACGTTTTTGTGCTTAAGCAAATTTTGTGCTTAAGCAGCTCTATGAAATTGGCCCCTGCTATTTAAGCAGTCTCTGACAGTCCAAATTCACTTTCACTTCCCCTGCTATACTTTTAGCAAAAGCTAGTCACCAGCAGTCAGATCATATGTCAGCAAGCACTGTGACTAGTCAAAATCTAGTTAGTGAATTAGGGGTGTTTTTGTTTTAATTTCAGATTTGTAAACTTTGATATGTCTACTGCACATTTTTTAAAGAACTAGTATATAAATTGTGGACTTGAAAGTGTCTTTAAGGAACTTTGAAGGCCTTTTTCTCAGATTTGTACTCTTTTGACATGTTGATAAATGCGAACAATTAACAGAATGTTCGATTGAATTTGAAGTACAACAAACAGTACTGTAAGGGGGAGAATTTTATTTGCTTTCCTAAGGCCAAAAAAAAAGTCTCCGGTTTCTGGTATGGAGCTTGCCCAAAAAGTGGTTGCGGCGACGCAGCTTTTTTTTTTTTTACTTGTTTTTTTTGCTTCAAATGTCGGCTGATGACTGCAAATGGTGCCCGACTAAACTTAGTGCAAATATTATGGGAGACCAGAGAGGCCACATAAAGCTTATTCTCGATCATAACCCCATCTAAAAACACGTTAAAATAGTGTAGCAGCAGGATTCCAGTCAAACCAGTGAGTTTGGGCGGTTTTGAGACATCATCTTTCATGAAAAAAAAAACTTTTTCATTTTGCCGACGCGCATGGCTACGGCGACGCGCGCGCATACCAGAAACCGGAGACTTTTTTTTTGGCCAATACCCGCATACCCTCATTTTGACCTCTGTCCAGTTCTGTCTCATTTTTGCCAGAATCTGTCACATTTTTGTAGCCTTTGGACTTTCATATCGTAATCCTTGTAGTCCATGGACTTTCAAAAGATTGAAGTTTTTGTATGTCAATGTACAGAAGTTTTTTTATCTGAAATATATTATGATGCTTCTGAAGCTGGTATAATTAATCTATGTGATTTCTGAATAGTTTATTTTAAGCAACTTTTGAGTACTTCTGCTGGTACGTGGTGTTTACTGCAGAGTGGTTCAGTACAGTGTGGTTTATCACTTTTGATAAATCATTCTAATAAGACGTGTATTTTTACCATCATTAAAACACATTAAACTGTTGTAAAGGCTATCATACAAAGTAATAAAAGTATAACAAATTTCAAATTTACAAATATCTTGCCGCATCCTTTTGACATTCCAATAAAACAGAGTCCAATTACTTTACTTGTAGGTAGATTTATTACATCATGTGATATGTACCTCTGTGTTTGGGAAATCTAAGTTGCACTTGACATCATTTTTGTTGAAAGAAAGTGCTCATAATTTTGCGAACTTTACAGATAAGCAACGAACTTGAGTCCATAAAGGTGGAACTTTATGTTAAAGACTCTCTAGCAAGACTCTCAGTAAAGCTGTTTTATTTTGTTGGCAACTAAAAAAAAACTGGCAGAAAAAGGTGCTCTTAAATCCTCTTGACCCTTTGCAAAAATTGATGCAATGCTTAAAAAGTTCAGAATTTTTTGTGTTTATGAAATTCAATCTACTACCAGGCAGTCAAAAAAAAAAGTGGAACCCAAAACTGAAACAAAGAAATATATTTCATATGAAAAAAAAAAATTATGTAGCACCAAAATTAATTATGACTTGGAAGGCCATTCATAAACTACTTTTAAGTGAGATAATTATTTTTAATTGCTCTACACGTTAATATTTTATCACTGTTTAAACCAAGGGCGGATCCAGAACACAATTTTTTGGGGGGGGCCCAAAAAAAATGTTGGTCACCCAAAAAAGTGGTCAAGAAAATTACGGCGTGGGGTTTCAGGGCCCGCTTAGGGCCCCGAAAAATTTTAGGATTCTAGATGCTCTGTGGTGCGATCTGAGGCAATTTCTGACCACTTTAATCAATGTTTTTTTGAGAAAAAGATGGTGGTGTACTCATTGCCTGCCTTTATTGCGATGTCACATAAAAAAAAAAATTAAAAAATGGTTTCGTTTTTTTTGGGGGGGGGGCGCCATGGCGCCCTTTGCCCCCCCCCCCCCCCCCCCCCCCCCCCCCGACACCCTTGGTTTAACGAAGTAACCCTAAAATCAGTTTCATTAAAAAAAAGCAATATATTGTATGTTCAGACTGTGTTGGAACAACAACACAGAACACTTGTTTCAACAACTGTAGTACACGATTTCTTTATTAACAACACTGCTTTGGCTAACAATAGGATTATAAAATCCACGTCTTCTTTTTTTAAAGACGGGCCTTAAAAAGGACTTTGTTGAATAGTTTTAACTTTTAAAACTGAGATGTTATCACTGGTGATGTTTGAAGACAATTGTAATGACAATTCTTGAAAATCACATTTTTGGATGAAACAGATTTCAGGGTCATTTTGTTTAAATGGTGATATAATTTGAACAGATTGAGTGATTGTTTTCACCTAAAAGTAGTTGATTAAATTGGCTTACCAGTCAATTATTTTTGGTGCTACATTTGCTACTTTTTTTTCAAATATGAAATATATTTCTTTGGGTTCCGCTGTTTTGACTCGCCCTGTATATTTCTTGTGTTGCATAGTTTCCTGTGTCAAGTTTAGACTGTTCTCTGTACCTCCGTTATCGGTTGGGCTTCTGGGTTAAATTTTATTACCGTTTATGTTGATATTTATATTTATTGGGGCGGGAACCGTTATTCCATCCCGTTCTCAAGGGGGCGTGGCCGCGGTGGTTTCGACCTTTCAGCTTTTCCGCCGCCAGAGGGCGCGGCAAAAATTTTCCTCATTGGATTATTGGTATTTCGTGGATGTACGCTAACGGGTAAATTCGTCAATGTAAATCGATTAAAAAGACCACATCAGCGGGTAAGTGAGACCGTAATTTCATGACATTTCGAAAATTGTGTCTTGTGTTCACCATTTGTTTGTAATATTCAGGTCTATGACTTCGCTTAGGTTCGTTTCAGCTACGTGCAAAATATGATGTCTGAACCTTGCGAGCTTTTGCGCAGGCAAAGAGCATACGTGCACGAGTGGATTTGTGCGTGTTTTTACTGCTCGATCAATGGCGCTGTAGGCCTAGGCCTACATGCGTCTGCAAACGGGTGCAAACTTTGCTTCATAATTTGAACTTCACTTCACACATTCATGTATTGTAAGTTGGCCTAGTAAATGAATGTACAGATGATTAGATTAGATGATTAGTAAAATTTTTGCTAGTTTGTTGTCGGTGCTTTGCAAAATTTGTACAAATAAGAAGGATACAAAAAAAACAATTTAAAACAAATTCAGGACTGGAAAAATTTGAAAGACATTTCAAATTTCATACGCCGGCATTAGGCCTACGGAAAGCACTGGAAATCAACTCGCAGTGTGTAGTTGTTTTCCTGTGTTTTCTGGTGTTTTTTGGGGTTGTTTTCCAGTGTGTTCCGGTGTTTCCTTAGTAATGTTTTCTGGTTGATTTCTGGTTGTTTTCCTGTTATTTTCCGGTTGTTTCTGGTGTTTTCCAGTTAATAATATGGCGATCGTGTACAGGCTCGGTTCCCTATATAAGGGAAACAAAATCCACTTTTAAATTATTTAAAATCATAATTTCTACCCCAAGAACTGTTCAAAATTACAAAAGGTTTCATTAGAATTGAGAGAAGTCTGTTCTACGTTGAAAAGTTCATTTTTGAGTAATGAATAACACCCTTGACTCCAATTTCATCAAAACTAAACAGGGGCCCTACACATGTACACTGCACAATTGCCAATAATATTACCCAATTATATTTGATCTACAAAAAACAATGTTTACAAATGATAAGCCTTATATCAGTACATTGGCAATATTGCACATTCAAGTTATAAATACAGCCTTTCTTGAGACCAAAAACATTTTGCAGGCCAACATGAATTTTGTTTGAATTAGGCCGATTATTTCATGTTTCTTTGCATTTCACTACATGATCATACGTGTACATGTACATGTTGGTTTACATCATACATGTACTGTAGTTTCCCAATATAATGTATGACTATCTTGTATCTTGTGTGTTTTGTGTGTGTTCTTTAATTTTCAGCAATGGATGGATTGGGGGATGGGTTAGTATATAGCAAAGGTTGTTACATGTACACTGACTTGTTTGAAGTTTTGTGTTCATAATCATAGATGCTTGAAAAACCAAGAAAAACAATCATGTTCCTGTAGTCTGGTTCCCTGACCCCACGTAAAATGAAACTGACAAATTTATAGATGTCTGGGAATATTAAGGTCAGGGAACCAGTCTATCTGGCTTGTACCCGTTCATGTGTTGTAATCGATTGCAAACAAAATGCGGACTAACTAAATGGTAAATTGGGGCAGTTTTTTTTAAAAAGCCAGTTTTTTTCTAACGCTGATCGGCCGACCAGGGTTGGAAATTGATACAAAAAATACCACTTTTCTTGAAAATTATAGCACACCAGGTGCCATGATTTTACAGGATGCTTTAGACTATCATTCACTAACACTAACAGTCTAGTAAGGTATATTCATAATAATTGGTAGTTCTATAATGTACCTGTATTTCAGTCCTTCATAAATTGGACCTCCCATTGCAAGTAATATTCCCACAAGCAAACTTGAGGATCAATACAATGGGAAAAAAATTACAAAAACAAAATAGTGTTGTATTTTTTTA